TTTTGGGGGAAAAAGAGGGGGTTTGGATATTTTTTTGATTTTTTGGGAAAATTTTTTTTTTTTTTGGGCCTTTTTTTTTTTTTTTTTTTTTTTTTTTTTTTTTTTTTGTCAGGGCCTTTCAAATTTTTTTATCCCCTTTTTTTTTTTTTTTTTTTACATTGCAACCAGAAACTTGAATGCGTTCTGTTGGGAAGTTTTCGACATTTACAATTAAAGTTTGGGCTAAAGTTGTGAAGAAATACAAGTTGGGTTAAATCATAAAATCCTGTTTGAACATCTGACTGTGTGTCACAGCAAGTAGAGCCTCACAAACACAAATACTGCAGCTGGAATAAAACATTAACATTTGTAAAATGCTTCTAATTTAGTAACAGCAGTCTAAGACGGGCACCAGTGGTTAATTGTACACCTTAGGCGCAGTTGTCGAGGAAATGGTTTATATATCATCTTATTCAAATAGCGTTCAAAAGTTTGTTACAAAGAAAAAGTGTTGTTTCTTTTTGCTTTTGCGAGTAATTTTCGTCTGTTTTCCCCAGATCTGCAACTGGTTTATCAACGCCCGCCGCCGCCTTCTGCCTGATCTGCTTCGCAAGGACGGCAAAGACCCCGCCAAGTTCACCATCTCCCGTAAGATTGTCGGCAAAACCGAGGCCCTTCAGCCAAACAGAGGTGAAGCCTGCTCTCCTGAAACCGGCGCCTCGGCTCGCTCCTCTCAGCCGCGTCCATCGGTGATCCGCTCCACGCCCGCTTTGGACCTTAGCCTGCTGGGGAACACGGCGACGGCCATCCTCACCGGAGCAGGCTACCCTGGAAAGGAAGTGTGTGTGCAGGCACTCATGACGCTGGACACACAAAGCCTGTTGATGGAAGCGGATGAACGAGGCGCCCCCTTAGCCGGCCCAACGCCAGGCATCACTGTAGCTGCGAGCTACCCCAGCGGCCTTCTCAACACGCCTCCCCCGACTCCGCCGGAGCTCTACATGGGTCACGACTTCAGTGACCTGAGGCTGCTGGTTGACGCCGCTCTACAGAGAGCCGCGGAGCAGGACCTGCTCAAGGAGAGCCAAAGCAAACCAGCAGAGCCTTTACATGCCAAACTGGTGGATGCAAACGAAAAGGGCCCGACCCCGCCTCCAGAGGAACAGGTCATGCATCCTTCCAGAGTGCAGAGCCTGATGGAGAAGGCCATGTCTGTTCCAGAGCCGGTCAAATCTCCAGCGGTTGCTGCTCCGCTTTTGCTCCCAGCCTCCGGGTTATCCCCCCTACCGGTAAACAAAGTGATGTGGAGCCCCTTAGATAAAGACACTGTCAGAGCGTCCAGCCCTAACCAACCTCGTCTCTTCCCAGCACACCTACCAGCTGTAGTGCCAGTATCTGCCATCATCCTGGGGCAACCAGAGCTACAGAAACCTGCCGCCCTCCCGGCCGTTAACCCAAAGTTACCTTCAGCTTCTTCGTCAGCCTCACCTCCAGCCTCATGTCCTACGGGTGCGTCAAATCCAGCAGTGAACCCCGTCTCCATACAAGCCCCTTCGGCCCAGTCAGCCACAAGCCCCACTTCAGATCCCCCCCCAGCAGCAGCTGTTGCATCTCAGCTGACTCCTAGAGGGGACCTGCCCCACCTCGAGTTCCACCAGCCCCCCTCGATCCCTGCGACACCCGCCGCCGTGCTGCCCGCTTCATCCTCGGTCTCATCCGCATCTCCAGCAGCAGCGGTCCCGTCTCTCCTGAGCCTCGCCTCCCACCTCGCTCCTCATACCTCAGGGAGCAGCGGCTCAGCCATGGTGCCGAAGGTCTGGACCATGGTTCACGCCAACGCCAGGCAGGCCAGTTCACTCCAAGTGGTAAAGACCCCCATCGGCACGGTGTGGGGACCGCAGCACAGCCTGCACACGCTGAGTGAAGCTGTCAACTAGAAGCTGCTGCTGTTTTATTTCTTTTTTTTTTTTTTTTTTATGTTAAACATCTGAGAAGAAAGCGAGGACAGGTGTGTTTTATACAGCTGGATTTTTAACGATTATCAGAGAATGTGTCTTGGTCGGCTTCTTGACGTGAAGCTTGAGCTTGGCATGAGTTGGAACTTTTATCGTTTACCACACGGAGGAAGGCAGAGCGTGTCATTCCTACGTTCTTGACGCCATTCTGCAACGGATTGTGATGTCATCCTGGGATTTTTGGGGTGTTGCAAGAATGAACAAATAGGAAAATATTCCTGAATTGTACAAACATTTACCAGCCTTTCCAGTAGCAGTGCTGGACTTTAGTGAATGTAAAAATAAAATAAAATAAAAACATCGAAACAATAAAAGGTGACCTCCCTGGATATGAACTCTGCTGCCCTTTATTCAATCTTCTGAATCTTCTGGATAAAAAAAGCACATTTTTTTTAGAACTCTTTTAGTTGTGTGCATTTAAAATGATCAAGTTGTTTTTTTCTTTCTTTTTTTTTATAAAAGGAGCCTGTTAATTTTTTTTTTTTTCTTATATGGTTCTCTGCTTTTTTTTTTTCCCTCTGCATTTGGAAACCTGAGCCAAAGAAAAATCAAAAACACAGCAGCACGTCTAACTCAGTGACTCCCTTGATCCGGCCAAGCGGTTTCATGAATCGTCATCTCAGCTGCTCTGTGCATACCTTCTAGCACGATGCATCATCAACTCTTTTACCGTTGGGAAGTTTCTCGTATTTTCAGTTTCCATTTAAAGCAGGTGTGTAGGTTGCTTTCTGCTGGAATCCCTCTCGATTCTTCATTTGGAGACCCGATGCGTCACCCAGAGCTCCCTGTTGTTTGTGAGGCCTTAAGAGTTTCTGTTTCTCAGATCCGAATGTCGTAACGGAAATCGATCGTTTCGTACTGGTTCTCGACAGAGCAAATGTAGCACATTTTCTTTTGTACGTCTAAAAAAAAAAAGTGTAGTTTTTTTCCACATCTGATAGTTTAAAAGTGGTTTCTATAGAGTTTCTGCTAATCCATGAAGATGTAGTTTCTGTGAAACTGTTCCTCCCCCGAACATTTAATATTGGTATCTGTGAGTGTCTGTGTGTGGGAGTTTGGCAGAAGGCTGGACTCCTTTCTGGTCAATACTGTAGCACAATTATTGATTAATGTTTACCAGGTCACAAAGCTGTGTTTAGTTCATTTCTGTTGTATTAGTGTGAGTGGTTGTGAACAGAAGAACAACATATGTTTGGGTTTTACTTTTGCTGAGCAATGAATACTGCCACCATTCCAAAAAAAAAAAAAAACCCTCCAAACTTTTCTCCTGTGTTTTCTTCACCGTGTTCCACTCTGTGCCACAAAGTTAAGGTTAATGTTTTTCTTTTGTTGCAGAGGCAGAGTAGGCCGGTGTTCATTTATACCTCAGTTACACACAACCGATGTCAGGCATAAGTTATAATTACATTTTTTCAAACTACATAAATACACTGTGATGATGCCTTCGAGGTCAGAATACTGGGAAAAGCTGGCTAAGATTTTAAGTAGCGAGGTTTTAGACGTAAGCTGACACTTCTGAGAAAAAAAAAAAAAAAAAACAATGTGCTGATGTAAATATGTGAAAGGTCAAGCTTTTTTTTTTTTTTTTTTCATATTTACTAGCATGAGATTCATTCTCAAAATGTAGTTCCTGTCCAACCAAATGTATTTTGAACATTTTCTTTTTCCACTTCATGTTACAAATTATGACTCCAGGCAGTGTGACTGGCTGCTGTGCCTTAAGCCTTCAAATGAGGGAGGATGTCCCGGTTTGTTTTTTTTATTTTTTATTTTTTTTTATATGTATTAAAAACTCAATAGTCTGTGCAATATACGCCTTAAACTTTAAATGTCTGTTTTTTTGTATGAACATTTCAAAGAAATAAAAGTTCAGTTTGTTTCATATATACGTTTCACTTCTTTTTTTATCCTTACTGAAAAAAATGTGCTTTATGCAGCTCACCGGCTTTATGGTAACAATTGTATGCCATTAATGATCAAATCTGGTGACAAATGGATCTGGTTTACCTTTCATGACACAAACTGAATTTTTTTATACCCTCAAGTTGCTTAAGACATTTAAAAATGATGTAGTCACACCCTTTAAGTGCAACACCATTAAAGATTTTGAGTTCTTCTAAAATGTGCCGTATCTAATTCTGTACCTCTTCTATTCCCTCTTTGGTAGTACAGGTATATGGACAAGACCCTGACTGCACTTTGCTAGAAGTTTAAGGAGTCTGAGTTAAATCATCTTTTAAATGGCAGAATATCACTTAAGATACCAAAAAGCATTTTTCAATTTAATTTGTCAATACTGAACTTAGTAAAAAAAAAAGAGAGAGAGATATTGTGGCAGAGAATCCAATAAACACTTTCATTTTTAAATTCTAGAAAGTATAAAGTATTTTGTAAGAGTAAAAAAAAAAAAAAAAAAAAAGCTAGTTTAAATGAGTAGACACATTCTTCATTTGCCACAGACATGGTCCATTTACTACAGGAGCTGTAGCATACTTTATTAGCCTGAGCAGATTCATGACCGAGTTCCTACTACAGCAAACATACCCGATCCTTCAACCAATACAACCAGCTGATGAAGCAAAGCATCAGCCTCAACTGTCCGCTTTGCCAGGAGGCCATTCTCACTGCTTGATTGTCAAAATCAAATAAACAGTTTTTGCAACCCTACAAGAATACAAAGGAGAAATGAAAGAAAGGAGCCATGTGGCAGTGCTTAAGCGTATGTGGTAGTTATAAGGCAGGCAGGAAGGGGTAATCATTGCTGTGTAGCACTGAAGCCGAAAGTCCATACAGCACATATAAACAAACACAGCGGTGTGCAATGCATCACAAAAGTCTTACTAAGTTGCCTATAAATACCAGTCAAAGTGCAGTTAATGTAGTTTGAGCTGCAGGAAGTGTGTCGCAGAACAAGATCTGTGGATCCTTAGATTAAATCCTCAATCGACACGTTCGCCATCAAATGTACAACACAATTTAAGGACATTTATATAGTGATTCTGAATTTATTTACTTCTAATATACACTGTAAGGGGGAGGGATCGGTGAAAATCTGTGGTGCAGCATGTGAGCGGGAGCCAGGAGCAGCCGTTTTCCCTCTATTCGTCGTCCTTGTCCTTTGCGCCGTGTTTGAGGATGCGAGTGAACTCCGCGTAGTTGAAGTTGCCCTTCTTGTCGATTGGCGCCTCGCGGAACAGCTCGTCCACCTCTTCATCTGTGAAGCGATCGCCCATGGTGGTCAGCAGCTCTCTCAAGTGGTCCTCGTGGATAAACCCTGATTGAGCAGACGGCATCCACACTGAGTAACAAAATACAGCGCTGCACACTGAAAACGGCATCTACGGCTCTTCTGTACGCAACTCACCAGATCCCTCCTCGTCGAAGCAGGCGAAGGCGTTGCGGATGACGTCCTCGGGGTCCGTCCCGTTGAGCCGCTCGCCAAACATTGTGAGGAACATGGTGAAGTTAATGGGCCCCGGAGCCTCGTTCATCATTCCCTCAAGGTATTCATCCGACGGGTTCTTACCTGCGAAGCAGCCACGTGGTTAGATTACATTCAATGCCTCTTTTAAACTATTCATGCCCCTCTTTTACTTCGTATATTTGCGACCTTAAATTTGTATGCGTGTTGGGATTTTATGTGAAATACCAATGCAAAATTGTAAAGTGGAAATCTGCGGCTGCTTTTGCATTTGCAATGACAACTGAAACTCTTTTAATGTACGTCACTTCCAGCTCTGGAGACCAAAATCTTTGCAAAATTGTTCAGATTTGAGTCGGACTCGATGATGACGCTCCTGCAAAGTTCAAGTGTTTTGGAGCCTGTATTCAGGAAAGCATGATGCTGCCCCCACTGTGTTTCACCCTGATGATGCTGGGCTCAGGGGGGCTCACCTGGCCCATCTGCTGTGCTCCTTATTTTATCATTTATAAAGAATTTAAAAAACCATGCACACCCTTCCACATAACAATTATGTAGTACTTTTTGTGAGTTGAACTCACAAAATCCAAGTAATACACTCAAGTTCTTGGTTGTACTGTTAACTTAAAGAGCTATTAATGCTTTTGCGAAGCATTGTACAGACGCTTGCATTTGCCTGATATGCAGCAATATTTGGTGGGTGAGGAATATTGAGAATAAGGATTCCGACTTAAGTTGAACCCCATAAATGCACCACATCTGTGAAACATTTATTTTACTTTATTATACGTTTTTCTCCCATTTTGTTTTATCCACCAAATAGTGACAAAAAAAAAAAAAAAAAAAGCCTGAAGTTTTTTTTGTTTTTGTATTTTTACCCAAAGAGGCCAGCATGTCATGCAGATCCTCCTTGTCGATGAAACCGTCCCTGTTCTGGTCGATCATGTTGAACGCCTCTTTGAACTCCTGGATCTGGGACTGGTCAAACATGGCAAAGACATTGGAGGTGGCCCTCTGTGGCCGCTTCTTGGTGGTCTTTCCCTTGGCACGTTTGCTAGACATGGCGACGGCTCGATCTGGACCTGTGCAGAGATATGCATCACGTCAGACAAAGGTAGGTTAGACAAAGCTTCGCTAACAAACACAGCTTCATGTGAATGCACAAACTAAGCTGGTTTATACAGTATAGTGTGCATTTAGCACCAAATCTTCCATAGGTTTTGTTTGCACTTGCGGGCGAATCTTTTCCACCTCACTTCCTCTAGAGAGAAACACATTCTCGGTGAAACAGCAGGCACTTTGATGGGTGTGAAAATGGCATGTCACTGCAGCACACACCTCAGATGGTTCCAGAATTAGACCCGTCACTCATGCTCGGGTCTACAAGGATTTATAATTCGTTTGTGTGTGCACATGTGTGAGTCCCGGGGTAAATGGCTGATGGAGGACACAGGGGTAAGGCTGGTTTGTGCAGGAAGGTAAATGAGGCCAATTATTCACACAGAAGAGTGACATCATGTCTAGATAAGCACAGAAATGATGGAATGCAAGTGTCTTTATTGTAACAAAAAGATATAAAAAAAAATCTTAACTTTAAGATGAACGTGTTATCTCAAACTCTGATAAGGAATCTTTATAATATTTACTTTATATGGAACAAACTGGAGCCTGCAAGATTTTTCAGTCTTATTAAAAATATATTATGCCTAGAGCTAAACCTGTGGTTTGCGTCATGTCTCTGAAGCCTGATGTCACTCTTCAGCCACTCTACACTCATCGACAATTATCAAGATATGCATTTATTGCTGTTTGGAAAATGATTTCACAAGCTTACTGTTTGACTATTATTTCACACGCATGAAATAATGCTCAACTTGTTCTATCCCAAAGTGGACACTTGTACATTTAGTTTTTGTCTTCTGCTCATTGTGTTGTTTTAATCTCTAATTAACATCAGGCAGAGGGATTACTAATGTATGCTACCAATAATAAATGTAACTTGGGTACATGCAAGTTGTTTTTTTGTTTAGCAAAGTCACTGCCCCCTTTTTAAATTGAAAATCTCAAGTAAGTTTTCTCCTTCACGTCTATTCCTTCTCTTTGTTTAGGCACATAAAATGAGTCAAACCATTTAGTTCTGTCCAATGAAACAACCTAAGGTGAATTTTAACTGCTGCATGTCCACTTGATGTTTCTATTAAAGGTTGTGCCTGACTGAAGTGAATGGACACATTATGACAACTACCATATAAAATAAATAATGCTGGTCCTTTTTATTTAAAACCATTACACCGGTCATTTGGGGGGCTACATTGGACAACAAGCGAACATTTTCTCCTCGATGTTGACGTGGTAGAAGCAGAGACAATGGTCAGTCCTAGCGGTTTCAGCGTCTAGACGACTACGTCTGAGCATCTCAAACCCTGCAGCTCTCTGGGGCTTTTAGGTCTACAGTAGTCGAAATTGTCCAAAAGCAAGGAAGGGTGGAGATGAATGCTCTCAAAAAGCCATTTCTAACCCTTTGATGGTTTAATACATTTGTGCTGCCACAGCTTTGTTAGCCCGTTTTCACCACATCTTTCATCTCCCTATGTGTGACAGTGTCTTTGTATTTAATAGAGCAGAGCAAAGACGAATTACTGTGCAGGTCAGCCAAGACAAAAGGAAAAAAAAAAAAAAAGAGTACCAAGTAAAAGGGGTTTTCTCTGCCTCTTATCCGGGCTGCAGATGCATGTCCTACAGTCATTTTTATTTATACAAATTAGTGCAACTGTACCTCGTTCATACTGTTATAGCCAATGCAAATGTGGCGTGTCAGCTCAGTTTATGATCTTAATGGACAACTCAGCTGTGATCTAAAGTTTACATGAAGACATTATGGATCTCCATGTTTGCATTTCCTCCACATAGATTAAAAACAAAGTGAGGAACCTTTACTGTAGGACACTTCACAAACACATGCACTATAAAAACAAAAACTGTTTCACAATATCATTCTATTACAGTGGTAACTATCTTTTTGTTTGTTTCACACTTATTTGAAGATGCAGTGCTCAATTAGAAGTAAATTCAAGCAACAATAGCCACTTTTTTTTGGTAATAAAACCAAACTAAAAATTTTGGTCAGATTATAACAAAATAATTGGTTCGGCCGACTGGTGCTATTATACATGGCGTGTTGTGTGCAGCACAGAGTGATGGGGACGATATGTATTATAAATGAAGATGTCAGCTTAACAAAAAGTCAAGCATTGCCATAAGATTTATGGATGAGAAGATGTTTCTATCCAGGTTAAGCTAATTTAGCAACAGCAGTCTGAAGTAGTCATCATTTGTAAATTGCAACACCTGGTCATCAAGAAAATGGTTTATAAACCACCTTATTAGCATGTTTCAAAAGTTTGTTACAATTTTAGGAATGTTTTGTTGTTAATTTCACTTTTTTTTTTTAAATGGAGAACAAACCAGATGACTTAATGACAGAAACTGTGAATGTACTTGTTAGTTGTGATTCAACCACCAAGAATCTAGCACAGGTATAAAACTGCTTTCTACACTGGGAATTTTTGGAACTGGATTAAACTATTCAGTATCATATGTTAGTTAACGAATTACAAAAATCGCCTCTGGTTGTCTTGTCTGTTTGAATAAGCCAACCCGAGTAAAACAAACAAAAAAACTAAAACTTAGGAGAATTTGTCAAGTACATTTTTAAAATGTGTTGAATCACACTTTAAACATGTGATTCAATAAACATGAGTTTATTCTACTCATGCTGTTTAAAGTTTACCAAAAAATAAAACATAAGCAGATTCCTTCATCGGTTTTACGGGTTAAATTCTAGCAGGTTATTCTACAGTCTTCACTGATTTCACCTAACACTTGGCTCCCTTTGTGTCCCAGCTAATGAAAACAAAACACCAAAGGTGTGCAATTTTGGCCGCAGTCCCTTCCATTCCCAACCTCACAGGAAGCTGGAAACAAAACTACCACGGGGAGGTAATACGACATTTCAGGAAGCAAGGAGTTCCTCCATTCGTTTAGCGCTTTTCCCTTCATTCTTTTCGGAAGACGCACAACAACCCAGTTTTTATCTGGTGCAAACACAAGTACATCAGACATAAAAGCCTTTATTTCGAGGTCCTAGCCTCTACCCTTCCTTTCGGTGACGTTACCTCGCTGCATTCAGAGGCCTGACACTTAAAACACTTGGCGGGGGGGTCATTTCTTTTTAGAAAGCACATATACAAGGATGGTTTCTTATATACGTGGCCTACAAATGATGTTGTTGATGTGTTCCCTTTTAATCTATTGCAATGCCTGAAAAAACGAAAAACTCAAGTAAAGCACCAAAACCGACTTTAGTTCAGGAGCCCACATCCTCCTAAATCCAACTTTGCCTGAAAAGCTTGTAGCAATTTAGTTAAGGTCCTTTATTATGCCCTATATAATGCTTTAAATTAATCTTAAGAGCTACATGAACCACAAAATATTAAAGACATTAACTTATAATTGATTTTGTAGATGGGTTTTTTTTTATTTTCAACTTTGGAATGCAGTGTAATGAAATCCTTGCTTTGAAGACATATCTTGTTAGAGATATACTTACTAAAGACTAAAAGTACATGGTGTAGAAAGATACCTTTATTTTAATTGCATAAAAATACAGCGAACTGATTTCAGAAGGACTGAAATAATAAACATAATATGTAGGTTTGGATTCAAGACTTTTTTTTTCTTTAAGGCCTGTAGCTGACATCATAAATTTTAGACATTTTAAGTTTTCAGCGCATGAACTTTACCTTCAACATGAATAAGAATTAATGCTTAAAACCAGCAATGAATTGTGGCAAGAACAACACGAATAACTACGACTTGATTTGTACTGACAGAAACGTTTGCTCTCTGTCCATCACTGATTTCTTTCATCCTTTTATTCGGAGTGGGCCAAGACAAAGCTCCCCTGTCCTTAGAACCAATAGGAGCAGTCGCTGTCTCACTCCATCTCACCGACTTTGAGTCATGAAGGTCAGTCGGCGCTGAAGTGTGAAAACTCAAGAGACCAACGGTCACACATACCAAGAACAAACAGAGTGAGGAGTCCAACAAGGGACGGCATCTCAGGTGAACGTAAGAAATGGGTCAGCTGCATTTAGAAGTTCCTCTGTGGTGGAAATGAACATAACCATACATGCTCACAGTTCAACTGGCACAAGATGAACACCCCATTAAGTCTCCTTTCAGGGAAGGAAATCTCCACAAATATTCAACTTCGGAAGATCACTGTATAGCTATCCTCTCCTCAGCTCCGACTCCTGAGATCTTACCTCACCAAACCACTTAAAATAAAGCTAAAAGAGATCCTTGGCGCTCTTAAAGAGTTACAGCCAGCTTTCATTCTCACCTTGGCTTCAAGCTGAAAATGAAGAGAGTCTTTTCAACTCCTTTTGTCCGGACCCGTCACCGCAGAGGGAAAGGAGGCAAGCGGTCCTGCTGAAAAGTTTGCTCAAACAATCAAACGCCCCTGGTTAGGCCCCGCCTCCTTTTCCTCCTCAGACCAATGGAAATAGCAGTGTGTCCCGTAGGGAGACGAACCAGGCCCAGACCATTTGTCCATACAAGGCAAAGGAATGCAAAAGCTACAGCCTCGCTGCTGCCGCGGTCGTTCTTTGGGATGTTTGGCGAAAAGGCAAAGATGAAATGACAGGAACTACGATAAGGCTGCCTTATTTAGAGAAAGGAGTCTAAACATTTGGTGGAAACATATTAAGGGAGAGAGGGAGCAGTGAGGAAATGCAGACTTGAGTTTCTGCTGGAACAATAGTGCCCTTAAATAGGCAGCGAGGCTCCACAACTCAGGGGCCAGAATTTAAAATGAACACCTTAAATGATGCTGTCAAGGACAGTTTCTGTTTTCACTTCCAGTTATTCTCTCCTAATAAAACTATGATAATTTTCTTCACAAGATTAATAAAGTATCTGATTTAATCTTATGTCACTCTGACTCTTTTCAGCTCTTTGTAAAATCTAAGATCTTCCCCTCATTGTTTTGGGCAGAATAATTTCAGACTTCAACACAGCTTTCTTTCACAGGTCTTCAATACATTTTACACGTTTTACAGTTGCCTAAAGCATGAACATTTATTTGTATATGACAGTGTGACTTAAGTGTAAAACTAATAAGAAACCGTTGTTACCTTCCCTTTTTATATCTGTTGTTAACTCAGCAATAATCATTGGTTTTATATTTTTAATAGAATATCATCTAAAGTACATTTTTTTTTAATTTAGAAAAACAGAATTAGATTGCAGTACAATCGACAAAAAGGGGGCGGGGGGGGGGATACGTCCAAGGTCTACCGCGTGTTAGTTAAAAGTGATGTTCTCCTGCGGTGCAGTGTCGCCATCTACTGGGCTACAGTAGTCTTCAAATTGAAATTATTACACTGAAAGAAAAATTAAGTAAAATATGAAGTACTGCGACAAAAGATCTGACTCTTTTTAGGTGTATTGACCTTGGCTTCAAGGGGGTCAATACCCCTTGATTGATCTTTTGATTGAATAACAGTTCAATTGATTGAATCAAAAGGTCAATCAAAAGGTGTATTGACCTTTTGACTCCCCCGTACTTCAACGTTCCAGACGGTCAAACAGATTAATATTAAATTAAAATGACAAGAGGTAAATATTTCACACCCTGGCCCTATTTTAAGTAATTGCCCCCAAACTAATAACTAGTTGGTGAGAACAATTGCAACAATAGGAATGATAACAAAGTGTAAGTTTTCTTTATTTGTGGATTATGACTTTCATTTGATTCACTGCACCCCAAAGCCTTATAAATGGGTTAGTAATCCTTTCTTGGCTGATAGAAACAATTACTTTCTTACTCATCTGTTATTGAATATCTTCAGATTAGGTGTGGTGTTTAGGCTTCTCAGATCTTTTAGCCCTCCTAATGTTTGTCAGACAGGTGATATGATATTTAGTGATATGAAACAAAAGAACATGTGCTTAATCACGCGTGACATGATGGCAATTCTATTTTCACATCATCTACCTATCTAATTAAAGAGGGTAGGTTGTGATATTGGAATTTGATGATCTTAGACATCGACTGACAGGCAAAGGCAGATGGAATATTTAAGTAAAACAGAAAGATGAAAGGAAATGCAAAAACAATGAAGATTATTTGTATTATTTGTCTTTTGTAATAGCTGAAGAGGTTTCTTGTTGTGCGTTAGACCTTGTTTCACGTATTGTTTACTGTTTACATTAAAGGCGGACCAGTTTTAACCCTCGAGTTTCTGATTGGCTTACTGAAGGGGACTTGAGAACGCGCATGCGTTGTACAGTTGGAAGATGGTCGTTGTGTCAGAGTGAGGAGAAGCCCGAAAGGTGAGTTGTCTTTTTATCTCATCTTTTAACGCCGATAAAAGGTGTTGTATGAAAAGTGTAACAAATGTAAAACCCGTGGAGTGCTACAGCCGAGTGAGCTGTAGTAGTTTTTGTCAGTTTGTAAAGTTTTGCTGTTCTCTCTACCGCGCTCTCTCAAGTTTTTCATAAAAGTAGTAAATGGAGGTGATTCATCTCTGTCGGAATTCTGTTTTTAATCGAAGTGAACTGAATGACGTTCAGGGGGAAAGTTTAGCGCTTCGTTGAAGAGAACGTGTTATTTTTATTTTTCTGTAGGCTATGAATGAATGGAGTGAAGTAGTTAAGTTACTCAGTGCCTGAGTAAGACATGTAGCATAGTCGCGGAAGCTAAGTTTTCTGTTGCATCCTTATGTTAAGGCTCCCACAAACTTCATCCAAAGTCCCTTTCGTTTGACGTTCGGCTTCAGATAAAGTATATGGTGACCTTTAAAGTTACCCATTTTGTCGTCTAATGGGAAAGCGACTCTGTTTAATTAATTTTTTTTTAGCTATGTTATATTTTTATTTTTTGAAATTTATATTTGTTGTTAATTGAAATAGTAGTAGCCTCTAAATTAAATTTATTGATTAAATTATTTACATTTTGTGCGGATTCACTAAAGTATTTTTGAATTTGAAATTAATTGAATCAATTTTGAATAAGATTGAGTCATTGATTTAATAGATAATAGTTTCTCCGGGGGGAGAGGGGAGAAGAAAAAGAAGTTGGATAATCCAATAAGTGGGAAACTCGAGTTTTTAACTTAAGGTTGTATGAGGATTGTAAATCTTATCTTAAAACATTAGGCTTTTGTGGATATTAGATAATCATGGTGTAATAAGTTTTTTTGTTGTTGTTGTATTACTACCTCTAACATGGAACCCACAATCCTTAAGTCTAAAGTAATACCTGGATTATAAAGCATCTGACCCTAAGTGCACTAATTCACAATTCAGCAGTCAATAAAAGGAAACGTTCATGGTGTCTTTCTAGGCGATCGAGTAATACAGTTTAATGTGGGAATACAAGTTTTTGTGCATGTTTATCCAACATTTAGAAATCTTCCCTGATATTTGTTGTTTATTGTTGGAGCCATGGGGATTTTTTCCCCCCAACCTGTCTACCTTTAGGTAAAAAATGTACTATTAGCTTCGGTAATAGAAATGTTCACTACAGAAGTTTTGTACCTGATTAAAATGTTCACACACTCACAGTACCGCCCAACCAGGAATTGGACGGTAAATGCAAATAGGAAAATTGTCGGTGGTAGTGGTTAGCTTCTCTCTTAGGACGGCAATTTACATATCCCTGTGGTTTTCCGACATCCACAGATTTGAGGATATTTCCAGGTCTGCGCTCTAATTTCAGATGTAAATACAGTAAGTAGACACCGGTGCTTGTTCTTAGTTCACAACCCTCTGTTTAATTTGTTTTGGGAGTTCTCAAAATATTCATCAATTTTTGTCTGTCTGGAGAATTTTGTATTTAAACTAGAGAGACTAATGCTTTTGAAAGACTCATTTCTAGCTGTTAATAGTTATAAATGTTTCTTGTGGAATGCAAAAGGCACCCCAAGCAACATCTGTGTTGCTTTTGCCTCACTTTTGGGAGAACTTTTTTATTTATTTATTTTTTAATTGTGACATAATCTGTTTTGTTTTAATGCTCCGTAATGTATTGCATCATGCATTGATACTTTATGTTGAAACAATGACTGTCTTATTCTAATCGACAGTGATTATGTTTTTGTTTTCTTAAACTAAACCAAGTAGTTCATTTGTAAAAACACAAGACAATGTTGAGACTTTGCTCCTAAAGTGAACATGAATGAACAATGAATGAACAATAAATGATTCGTACCCTTAGAAACATTTCAACAATGTTTCAACCAAGGCGCTCCTTGGTCATGATGCTGTTTGTTCACTAACAACCCTCTGAGGCCTTCACTGACAAGCTGCATTCATATTGAGGTTAAATTACACATTCCATTTTGAACTTTACTTATTAAGTGACTTTTGAAAGCAATCGGTTGCATTGAATTTTTTTTTTTTTTTTAACTTTTTAGAGTTGTTTTGATTGGACAATCCTTTGAAAACCAGGCATCATTTTCCTTTCAGTTTATTGTTATGCTGTACTTTATGTTGGTCTGTGATAAGATTTTGGTTGTAATTTAACGCAATGCTAAAAAAAACTAAAATGTTTTCAAGGCTCTGTAAATCGGACAAAAAGAAGTGTAAAACAGTGATCGATAGCTGCAGCTTTGCAATACAATATCCAGCTGATTTCCTCTGAGAAGTGAATAAAAAACTCCAGCAAATGCACCTTTTGGAAAATTCCTGACAGAATCATACGAACGCAATATTGGATTTATAACTGCGACTGTTTCCTCGGGGTTTCTTTTATTGCTTTCACAGTACACCACACCCGACCTGGTTATAACAATCAACTATCACTTTAAGTTATTTCTGACGAATGAGGCGGTGAGCTAAACTTGTAGTCGTGTTTCTATTGCGCAGCCACATGATCGGCCGGAGTTGCGGTTGTGTGTACGACCTCATCTCATCTCCTCATCTGCTGCTGTTTTCCTCAGAGGCCTACCGTTCTGTCGACTTCTCTAGGCAACTTGGGCAGAGATATCCATCCTAATGCGAAACTCTTTCTGTGAGACAGCATATCTGCTGGAGAGTCCCCCTGGTCTTTGACGGCCCAGAGAGCTGTGGTTGCGACCAGAATGTGTGTGAGCGCGTTTGAAAAGCTCATCAGAGGCTTTCAGAAACTGCTGGTCTAGCTGTCATGTGAGGCGACTGTGTGTGTGTGTGTGCGTGTGTGTGTGTGCGTGTGTGTGTGTGTGTGTGAATATACTAGGACTCTCTCACAGATCACTGTATATATGTATTTTTGCCACAGAACAGAGAGGAGTAGAGCGTTGTCGTCTCTTATGATCCAGTTTAGCTCAGCTCTGCGGACTTTCAGAACTTTGTCTCTAAGGTGTCCGACCTGCCAGTATGTAGGCCGACATTCACAGAGACACGCTGCGCGTCATCAGCGTTGCGAGGCAGTGGAGCAGAATGAGAAACAAGATTCTGAGGATCCTCAGATGAACATGGTGGCAACATTTCCTGAGACAGTTTGTGAGTTCATAAAGTGGAAAAGCTGATGGCGGAGAGGCGGTCAGGGCAACCTGGCTGGATTGAGAGGGAACATCTGCATCCTTCTCTCTGGGTAAGACTTAGACTCAGGATCTGCTCCAGATTAGTGGAAATAATCTCTGATCTCTTGTTTTTGTAAGTACTGTTTCAGCTATTACAGATTTCTCTTAAAAGCCTGCAAGGAGTAAAAACAGTGACTTTAAGACAAGGTTCCTTTATTAAAAAAGCATAGGAAATCATTTTGATGATTAGTATTTTCTATTAGCTGTTATCTTGCCAAGAATTACTAAATCAGTCATCTTCAAGTGTAGATCCTTATTTTAACTGTGTGATTTCCAAAAGGCTGCTGGGATTCTCCATTAGAGAAAATTCTCCACTCAGGGGTTACTTTTCATGATCAAGAGTTTAGGTACCCCCCTGAAATTATTGCATCTAGGAAGCCTAATTTCATGCTTGGTTTTAAATAGCTTGAAAGCTAACTTGACAGTCTAGCAATGGACTGTCACTTGAAAGTGGACTGTCCACCTTGAAGGTCAAAAGTCAAGTTCTGCTTTGTCTTTTTGAAGCTGGTAACAGTTGGATTCGTTTGGCTTGTTTGGTGAGAAAAGCCAATGTTACAACAATTACTTTTGAATTTCACCAACGTGTTGTCTTCACGTCTTCGAAACCGACCCATGTGTTTGTGTACACTAGAGCCCTGCCTGGTGAACATAATCAAGTTGATGGACCAAGAAAATTACGTCAGCAGATTCTGTTGTCTTGCAAAGACAAACAATTACATCTTTTCACAGGATCGCATCTTAATTCGTGTTTGTTGACCTTCAGACCATTAGTCACAGTCAAAGACCTGATGCACAGGTCAATATGCCTTACACAAAGCAATAGAAGAACCAGCTTGCAGGACATTGTGCTGTTTGGAATGAACTCTGCAGGTTGGAACTTTGTTGCTGGTAATTTTTTTTTCTACTTGTGTGATTCAGCAGACAGAAACACAGCTAACCAGGTACAGACCGCAGCATTTACCAAAGAGCAGAGCAGGAAACTGTTTCTTTCTTCATCATGGCACTCGGTCTGCCTAAAAGCTCTCACTTCTTGTTTTTCTTCTCGTTTATTTTTTGTAGTCACAGACCATGAACATTGTGGGCCAGCTAGCAGAGACCGTGTTTGTCACAGTGAAGGAGCTGTACCGCGGCTTGAACCCGGCCACCCTGACCGGTGGGATCGATGTCATCGTGGTGCGGCAGCCTGACGGCTCTTACCAGTGTTCGCCGTTTCATGTCCGCTTCGGGAAGCTCGGCGTGTTGCGCTCCAAAGAGAAAATTGTGAGTTTTTTTTTTTTTTTTTTTAAATACCTTATTCTTTGCCTAAATATTCCGTCGTCTCTCATTGAACCGTATGTTGTGATTTTTAGGTCGACATCGAGGTAAACGGAGAATCGGTCGACCTGCATATGAAGCTCGGAGATAATGGCGAGGCTTTCTTTGTGGAGGAAGAAGAAAACATGGAGGTAAGCTGAACGACGTCAGAGACCGCTTTAGCTAAATCACACTTTCATGTCGTCAAATAAAGTAGTTTTTGTTTTTCTTTCCTACTTCTCTCCGTGTTAGGTCCCAGCCCATCTGTGCACCTCCCCAATTCCTCTGGAGGTCCCCGAGGACACGGATGTGATCGCCGAGGGATCCGGAGCCCGCAAGAAGCGGCGGCGGCGGAGGCACGTGCGTTATGATACTCAGCAGAGGGACGAAACCAACTCTTCGTCAGAAGAAAGAGACAAAGAGGAGCAGAGCACGAAAGACTCTGACGCTGCTCAGCGGGAGAGTCCTTCATCTACACTCCTGCTGACCAGGTCAGACAGTAAAACGTGCAGATGTTAAATAAATAAGTAATCGAATTTAAGTTAGAAAAATTTTTACTTATTGCAGGGACAAAACTTAAGAAGGGGCTTGCATGTTTACCTTAAAGACTAGAAGCTTTCTTTGGACAACCCTGCTCAAACAGCTCATTATGAAGTTTTGAATAATTCTTTATTTATTGGTGGAAAGTTGCGGCTGTGAGTTTTAACCCGATTGTAGTCGTGCTACACTTGATGTTTCGGTGAAAGAAGATTGGAGTTCGGTGTAGGGGAACCAGGATCTAACGTTGACTTTAATCCCAGATCGAGGCGAACAAAGTTGTTAAATCTTTAACGTTTTTCATTTTGCGTGTTAGTAAATCAGTGTACTACTCGATGTCTGAGGAGCCAGATGAGGAACTGGGGGCCACACAGGACAGAGACACTCATCCACTTTCAGACGAAGAGCTCCCAGAGAAGTGAGAAAAGCTTTTTACTTTCTGTTAAACAAACATTCTTGTTCGTTCTTCGGTTTTGAGAATCCCCTGTGTGTCTTTCCATTGTTTTCTTGAGTCGGGCGGATTCTCCTAAAATCGACTCCGAGCTTCTGGACGAAGCCCCGGATTTGTCTGAGCCCCAAATGCAGTGGAACTGGGGAGGATTTCCCACGGTGAAACACACAGACAAAGCAGCGCATTTACGTCATACCTGTGCTGTGGTTGGAGTTCAACCCGCTGACACGCGGTTGTCCTGTTTTTCGCAGCCCTGTGACCCAGAGAACGCACCAGGAGAGCTGAAGGCCACGTCTCACTTCTTCCCCATTGAGAGACAGGACTCCTTTGACCTTGGCGACGAGGTCACGCCTTCCGAGATAATCGGCTGCGTGAAGCCACAGCCGACGGCGGACTCAGTTTGTTTAGACAGCAGCGCTCAGCAAACCAGCTCTTCATCTCCGAAGAACTTTGACGACGAACTTTCCTCCCACGACGTCTTCATGTCGTGCGTTTCTTCCACTGAAGTAGATTCTGAGTTTACGGTGGAAGAGAAGGAGGAAAAAGAGTCATCTTCTGAGAAGATTGGCACTTGTTTCAACAAAAGCCAAGAAGGCGCCGAAAAAGTCAGTTCTGTAGCTGAAGGAGTTTCTGAAAATGGAACTTTGAGCAAAACAGAAGAGCTGATAAAAAAGATGGCAGAATGCACACTCCAAGAATCAGGCCAGGATAGTGGAGGACCAAAAGATCCGCAGGAAGAAAGTGTCTCAACTGAGCAGAGAGAATCGGATTCTCCCTCATCTGAGCAGAGAGAATTGGATTCTACACCTTCTGCTCCTGATGGAGGATTAGTGCCCAGCGCCGGTGGAGAAGATGACGACACCACACTCGGAGCGACCGATGAATCACCCGAAAGCTCAGCCGCAGCGACGACTGCAGCACAAGCTGCCGACGCGGACACTGGGAGTGACGTGGCGAAATCCTCCGAAGCATCCTCCAAACTGGAGCAACAGGACGAGAAAAAAAGTGAAGCATTTGAGCGATTAAGTTAATTCTTTAGGTTAATGTCAGAAGCCTGAGGTGGATTTGTTCCTCACGGTGCTGCGTGACTGTGTCGTAGGTAAACAGATTCATCCTGGAGGCTCGTCGGATATTTACCTGGAAGACCTGAACACTCTGGACCCGGAGGTGGCGGAGCTTTATTTCCCCAAAACGTGAGATGTTTTCTGACACACTAGACACATTTTTGTCAAGTTCCAACCTTGAATTGCTACATATTTTCTGGACAGAAAAATAATATTTTGTCACCTTCCTAAAATAATGGCCTGAGTCATTTTTACCTAAAGTGATTTGGCAAAAAATAACACGTGCCATTATTTCAGGCCTTTATTGCAAATTTGTATGCAATAAAGACAATAAAGCTATGAGCAGATATGTTTCTAATTTGCCATTAGCTGTATGGGTGTTCAGTGTTAGAACTATGTGACAAGCCAGTAATTCTGATACAGTAACTTGAAATAATAGCAAATGCTGAACCTAAATTACTCACTGTTGCCTGTCCACAGAGAGGCAGAGGGAGCGTTAACTCAATTTGCTGAACAGGGCTTAGGTAGCCATTCGCCTCAGTTAGTGGACATTGGAGCAGTGGACAGTGGAACAGAGTACCTGTCTGATTCTTCTTACGTCATGGACGTCAGCATGTCCCTTTGTGGGAAAGTAGGAGACACCAGCCAGATTACCAAAGGTAGGAGTGATTGATCCAGTGTCAGGTTGGAGAAAGTGTGTATTTGATCATTATTATTATTATTTATTTTGTTTGTTTTTCATTTTGCTTCAGAAAAGTTCACAGAGCACCTTGTGACATATCAGGATTTTATCAACAACCCAGGAATCATTGAGGATCCAAGTCTAGTCATTTGCATAAATTCTAAGTGAGTGGAAAAAAAAAGTTGATCAGCTTCCAGGCTAAAGTCCTTATTTCCATTGTTGCTCATCAGCTTTTACACTTTTTTGCAGCTATTACAACTGGGGAGTGGCTGCTCCAATGATCCTGTCCGTGACAGCGTTCCAAAAAAACCTACCAACGGTATTGTAGTTTTTTGAAACCCGACCACTAAAGTCTTAAAAATGTATTTTAAAATTCAAACATTAAGCGCACCTTATTTATAGTTATAGGATATCTTACAATTTTATAGAATTGTAAGATAGAAAGGATAATTTTCTTTCTCTGTGTCTTATACATAAGAGTACAGTAGAGAAGCTGGTGAAGGACAAGATGTCCAAAAAGCCTGGCCGTTGGTGGTTCTCATGGAGACGCAGAGAAATGGACAACAATAAGGTATCTGCTCAGGCCCTCTCACACACACACACCCCCACACACACACACACACACACACACACACACACACACATATATATATATATATATATATATATATATATATGCTTATGTGATGGGTAATGGGAAGAAATGTTATACATCAGCCTACACTGACTGATTAATCATGGAAAGGTGTGTCCTTTCTAGTTGAAGAATATTTTTCATGTAAGACATAATGGTGCTGGATGCTGACTGCTCTTTTCTCTTCAGCAACAACAATTAAAGGAGGAGCAACTGGCAAGTGTTTCCTCCCCAGTCCAGTAAGTCACCTCATTACCAAGTGATTAAATAATCCTTCCCCCAGGAAACCTTGCGTCCCGTGTTCCAGCTGGTGTTGTTCTAGCAAGTCCTGCTGTTGCACATCTGTTTCACTACCGCATGACGTTGGTAGTGGAGGGAAACCCTAACGAGGATTCCTTTCGTGTCTATGTTAATCTTTACTGGCTGCTTTAGTTGCTCACACACCCAAATATCTTCAGCGTTGTGTGGACTTCCGTCTAATTTCATCCACACTTCTTTCACTTTTTCACATTACTATGTATCTGAAAAGGAAAATTTAATAGTGGGATATTTTTGCAACCAAATTATATACATAATGACAATTGTGTTTGAATAAAGTGGTGGAAATGTTAAATGCGTTTGAATTTCAAGGCACTGTACAGTTGCAAATGTTAACTTATTTGCGAGGCACGCACTGTAAGTCACTACTGTGAATAAGACGTTTTTAGAGGCGGATGAACACAAACAGTGACTTTCCTTTGTTGTTTTCCCAGAGCCACACTGGATAACACTGAAGCTGTAGGGCTCCGACAAAAAGCTCCCAGTCTTTCTTCAGAAACCATGTCCATGTCCTTCAGCCACATGTACCGCAAATCACTACGTCTCACTTCCAAGGAGATAGTAGGACAACCCTGACTCTTTGCCTGCAAACATCAAACATATTTAGATAAGATCTTTTTGTGCTATGATGTGTGTCTCTCTGATCTTCTTTCACCAGGATAGTCTAAATCTGCGTGAAGGAGCCAATAAAGTGGTATTCAGCGTTACATCGCAATATCAGGGCACCTGTCGCTGTGAAGCTGCCATCTATCTGTGGAACTGGAACGACCGGGTCATCATATCAGACATTGATGGAACAATCACCAAGTAGGCCACGTTAAACACGGTTTCTTGCTATAAAATCATCACATTGCTTTGCGTGTTTAATTCTGTAGAAAGCTAAGTTTCCTTAGGTAAGCGTCACCTTTCTACATCTCTGATTCTGCAATAAATGAAATGTGACGTCCAGACAAGCCAGGCTGCCAAAGATTTCTTTGGACATATTGGGAAAATTCTCCAGCATCAATGTCAAGTATCTGACATGCTTTCCTGAGCCAAAAATGACAAGCGCTTCTTAAACGTCACAATAATAATCCAGTAATATCGCTACTAAATCTTATGTGACACTGTGCAGACGCTCTGTCTACGTTATTAAAGAATCTCATACCATACTTAGTGAATGCTTGAAGTGGCTCCTGCTGCTGACAGCCTCTCAACTTTTTTGTTATTTTAGTTGATAAATATTTGACCACTGGTGTGAAATTTTCATCTCCAGTCTGTTGATCCTTAAATATGGAAACAAAATAAAATACGACGGTAACATCATGACCAAAGTAAAGACCACCCATCCTCACTCAAAAGAACACAGAATCCCACATCCTTAATCCCATTAAACAAACACTATAACTTTTGTGTCATTTTCATCACATTTTTGCACATGCATCATGTGACACAAATCACATGATGCACAAGTGGTGATATTAACCTAAAATATTAATGAAAACATCCTTTAGAATTTACGACCTTATTGTAATCCTTTTCTGTTTTGTTCTTTTTATTTATTTATTTTTTTTTAATAAAAAAAATTTTTTTTTTTTTTTTTTTTTTTTTTAATTCTGCTTTAAGCGCCACTCTGTCTCTTCTAGATCTGATGCGCTTGGTCATATCCTGCCTCAGTTTGGAAAAGACTGGACACACAAGGGAATCGCCAAACTTTATCACAAAATACACAAGTATGTGAAATGCTGCTCCTTCGTAGATGACACCTGAATGGAACTCAACCTGTCAGATTTTCTTGTCTTTTTGTTGTGCATCCTGCTATTTGAACAATCGAAAATACATGATACATTGTGTGTTTTTGATCAAATGTAATAACTGATTTTGTAAAACGCCGTTTTGGTTGTTCGTTTCTTTGCAGAAACGGATACAAGTTCCTGTACTGTTCAGCGAGGGCTATCGGCATGGCTACTATCACCAAAGACTACTTAAAGTGGGTCAACGACCAAGGCACGGTTCTTCCTAAAGGCCCTGTGCTGCTGGCTCCCAGCAGCCTCTTTTCAGCACTACACAGGTAACAGTGGCTCAAATCCTCGCAGGAGGGTCTGTATTCCCCATTCAAGAGACCGAATTTATAACTGTGTATCGACACCCTCTTAAAATAGTAGCCATAGTGGTTATTTTCATGTTTTTTCAAAACATTTCACAAAATATTGCATATAAGTTCATTATCTAACTGTCTTTACAATGGATGACGGTGGACATCAACTCTTGCAGGGAGGTGATTGAGAAGAAGCCAGAGGTTTTTAAGATCGCCTGTCTTAGTGACATCAGGGACTTGTTCGGATCACACAAACAGCCTTTCTACGCGGCTTTTGGCAACAGGACTAATGTAAGCAATACTGAAGACTGACTCCAAAGTCTTACATAATATCCATACCTCTTAGGACGTGAGGAGCTGTGGTTGAGTGGTTTACACTTAATCAGTTTGTTAGACAGACTCTTGCATACTTCGAAAAAAAAAAAAAAGGGTAGCTAAAATATTAAGTTTATTGGTTAAAACTTTTTTCTGGTAAAGAAATAAGACTAAAGTTATGTGAACCTCTGCAATAAAGCTCATCTCTGATGCGTTTGCAGGATGTTTTTGCCTATAAGAAGGTGGGAGTGTCTGAGAGTAAAATATTTACAGTCAACCCAAAAGGAGAGCTTATCCAAGAAATGAATAAAGGCAACAAGTCTTCGTAAGTAAAAACCAAGCAATTAAATGGAAATGATTTTTTGTAACTTGCTGTCATACGTACATGAAGATTAGTCGGATTTCTGAGCTCCTGGTTGCGTGTGTGTTTTTTCTGCAGGTATAACCACCTGACTGGATTGGTCGAGCATTTCTTCCCCGTGGTGTCTGCCGAGACAAATAACGCTGCAATTTTGGTCTGTCCTGAATACAGTAGCTTCTCTTACTGGAAGGATCCTCTGCCCGAACTGGACATGAGCATACTGACATAGACCAACTTCCAATATTGTGTCTAAGCCCTTTGCACATATGTGCAAAATAGATATCAATTCTCAGATTTTCCCAGGACAACCACCTTTGATAAGAACATAAAGAAGTAGTTGTTGAGTTTTAATACTACACTCGGATAGATTCCAATTAAACTATTTCGAGTCAAAGCCACTGAATAATTAATAGCTTGAGCATTTTTAGTTTTTCAAGATATTTCTCCTGTCACTACATGTTTTAATTATTATAAATCCTATTCAACATATTATCTTATGAATCGTATTGAAAATGACACAGAGAAGAACTCGACTTTAAAAAACACACCAAGTAATGCCTAAATTGTAGGGATGACTCAGTGATAATTTGCCTTACTTGAACCATCTGTGTGTGTGTGTGAATTCATTGGTCTACATAGCATATGGAGTTTTATAGCTCATTCTACCAAGAAACCAAAAACTGCTTAAATATGCATATCAAATTAATCTTAATTATAAGATCTGTTTGATCTCATTGAGTTTATGAGTCTGTTTGTGATTATCTGTTACAGCTTTGAATTTGCACTTTACTGGAGAGAACAAAATCCTTTGGACAAAAAGCAATATTTTAAACTCGTCCAAAACTAAAGGTTATGCACCATTAGAATTTTATGTCATGCAGAAGGACCATTCAGTCTGATTATTGTGACGCTAGGTCATTGTTTCATGCCAAGTTCGTAATGGCACAAATTGTACACTACACAAACGAGCATCTGCAAGAATCCACATCTTGCATTGCAGATGTGGATTCTGGCTGTAAACTGTTAATGGTAATGTCATACATATTTATTATTTAGCGTATTTTATTGTCCAGCTGATCTAAAATTGAGTAGTTTTGTTTTGTAAATCAAATGTACAACAAATGTGAAAGAATTTTAAACAATCTATGTTGCGCACATTGTAGTTGTGTACTTATGTTTTTAGAGTAAATACATTTTACTTGAAATAAAACCGCTTATAAACATTTTTTTGTTGTTGTTGCTGATGATATACAAATGTTTTCAATCAAGACTTTGAAGTGGAGATAGTATTCTTGCTGTACTTGGGGAAACCTATTACTGAATGTCCTTGTTTTTTGGGGGGGTTTTTTTAATGCATTTATTGCAAATACGATAGTGGTCAAAGGTTTTAAGATGAACAGACGTATTTTGTTTCAGAAATGTTTCAGCTTTACAGGTGTTAGATCTTTGCATCAGCTGTTTCTACGGGACACAAAAGTTAAAAACGAACCACTTTAACTAGTTTGAATGACTTGTTGGCAAACACATCTGAATATATGTGAAGGGTGAATATGAATTGGATCTGGGTCTTTTTTTTTTATGAGTCTAAATATTTAAAGTTTTGATCCAAAAATAAACCACTTTCTTTAGTTTCAATATCTTGTTGAGAAACGCATCTAAATGTATGCAAAGGGTCAATACGAATAAGATCTGGGTAATTTTAGATATCTAATATTTAAAGTTCTGATCCCTGAGCCACTTGATTTTTATTGTTTGAATAGTGACACATTGCTACTCTGCTTGAAAACACATTGGTGTGTCTAAGTTGAACACTCTATGGAAGATTTCTCGGGCACTTATTTCATTTTTTTGGGGGTTTCCTGAAGCTTTCAGAAGTTTCTGATAAGTTCAGTATGGGTTGATTTCAATACAATCTTACAAGCAGCAGTATCCTTGCTGCTTTATGCAAATTGAATTCAAATCTGTTTATTTAGACAGCGCCAACTCACCACACATGTCGTTTCAAGCACTTTATAATCAAAACAGTTTTTTTTATGTAATAAAACATTGACAGGAACAGTGTCTTTCTTGTGGGTAGCCACACATGACAAAAGATTTATTTCAATATTTCCTGTTTCCTTTTGTTAATTTTGCAATTCACATTTCGTCTGATCACACTTAATAGCAACAAAGATCCAAAACCACCATGATGGTAAGATTTGTGGAAAAACGAGTAGGCCTATATGGCAATCTTTAAAGTGAAGACAGTTCTTCACAGTGAAATACTGTTTTTGGTTGCATTGCTTTGAGATGTCTAGTCAAATAGAGGAAACAGATGTCCCATGTAGCCATTTTTCTAAGATGTACATGTAAATACCAAAATTAAAAGAAAAAGCAGAAATTTAAATTGAGTACTGCCCCAGTTATAGCTAATAAATGAGAAGTCTGTTGCAGTGTCTCATATTTAGCTTATTTCAGATGTTCAGTATTTCTGTATCATATATAACCATCACGAAGGTCGAAATAAAGACCATCTTTTGTGCAACTTGTATAAACCATTTTAAAATGACCCAAAATTAAGGGCGAAAAAAAGCGTCGATGCAGTTCTTCACGGTGTTTGCAATTTACTGCATTCTTGAAAAATACAAGTATAGTACAAGTAGTTGATAATAGCATACACGGAGGGGGAGGGAAAAAAAAGGTAGGCTAAATGAATAAGATTGCGCAAATATAAAATGAAGTAATTTTAGACGCGTGTCGTGTTCCAACATGCTGCACCTGATCCAGATCCGGAGACGATGAAGGTGTTTATGATCGACGCAGTCATAAACGCGTCAGTGCGTCTCGCTTGTTTTTACCTTCTTAATCAGGAAGAAGCGGGCATCAGAGAGAAAAGTGCCAGCAGGTACGTTTTCACCGCTGTTTTCTATCATTTATTCTCTTCAAGATTATATCTAGCTGTTGATTAAGCGCCTATAAAATGTAATGCCGCTACTTGCTGAAGCTGAACAGTTCCTTGCAGCTGGACTGGTTCAACACGTTGAAGAAACTTGTGTCGTTTGGGTTATTCCTGTTCCCCGGAAGTCGAAACTTAAGTGAAACCCGCCCTGTAAAATAAACAACACGCAGGGCTTTACATGTCCATTTGAAACATGTAAAGACGCATTTGGTTACTGTTTCAATTTCCCTCCATAGAAGGTCACATTTAATGCAGCCTACACACACTGTCCTTTTAATTCTAGCAACTTTATTGCGGCTATTACTTTTGTGCTTAGTCATGTTTTATAATCGGTCACCATGACTTGTGTGCAAGATAGTGTTTACTTTAGACGACATAAAATTTTCATCTTTAAATTTGAGTTAATTTGGGAATAGATGCATTTAAAAAAACATTCAGGAGACAGTTTGCTATTTTTAAAAGAAGTTATATTAAAGTTTGCCTATAAATAAATACAGAAGACATAGCTAGAGAGTGTAAAACAGCCCTAAGGAGCTGACACATCTAGAATAGCACTAGAGAGCATATGCATCAAGTCGAGCAATATTTCACAATTAATCGAGTTAGTCAGAGGGAGTAAAGGTCAACATACACAATGTAAATAAAGTTTATGTCTATAAAGTTAAATAAACTGTTATCACTGTTATCATGCCTTTTAACATAAACATGATAATGTGTCCAAAATACAGAAATAGCATTGAAGGCAAAAAGCAAAATTTGTCAACTAAAAGTAGTAAAATTTAATCTGCAATCATGTAAAACCAATTAAGATGTAATGCTTTCTCGTAATGTTTGTCTAAGCGGTTGCTTCTTGAACAAATCCAAGAGTCCACAAAGTGTAGATAAAAGGCCTGAGTGTAGGGACTACAGCTGCAAAGTCTCTGTTTCTGATTGATTTAGGGAAAACAAGCCCTGATCAGGCATGACTTGTCTTTCCCAGAATTCTAGTGGATTACGGTGGCATCATAAGGCTGAAGAAGGGCAGAAACATTGTGGTTTGTCGCCACTCCAGAACTTTGAACTGTTTTCCAGAGACCCGCAAAGGAATGACATGTAAAATATAGTCAAAAACTTTCAACAAGCTCCAAAATGCTAATCATGAGAGGAATACATAACCTAAGTCGTTATGTATGCTGAAAGACGAAAGATTTTTTTAAACTTGGGAAACCAACTCATTCAGAACATAATAAAAAAGTCAAGGTTTTCTCCTTGTTCACCTGGAAGACATTTTATAACATCCTTGATTTTGGACATCTCAACAGTTTTTGGACTGGAACTTTGGAGATTTGTTTAGAAGACATATCGGTATGTAGTGAAATTACCTCAAGTGTCCTCAAGTACAGCTTGGTTCCAACATCGAGCCTGTGTGACATCTGTATGCCCCTCATGTCAGCCATATATCCAGTTAGACGAAAAGGTGTTGTGCATAACCATTAAATGAACTCCATCAAACTAAATCTGGTGCTGTTAATGTCATCTGTTGAATCTGTAGAGCCTGTGCCATGTTGGGTGACCTTTAATTAAACTTTGACTGACTGCCTAAATGCCTATGATACAACATATAACTTGTCATACCATCTCTGTTCTAGATGTGCCAGCTCCTTGCAGACCGAATCAATCACTTATACATCTTTGGTCGTGAGTAACAGATTTCACCCAAATTGAAATATTCCTTTTGACTCCTTATAGGGTCATATATTGTCAGTGAATTTGTAAATACTTTTTCTTTAATCTTCTATCATGACATTTAGATTTCCATTTATACATAGGCATGTGTTTGATTTAAACTTTGTATTTCCCTAAAGGTTTCCTGTCCCCACCATCATGTCTGTGTCTGAAGGAGTAAGCTTTTCTGCAAATAAGCTCACATGTCCCATATGCCTGCAGCTGTTCTCTGAGCCCATTTCTCTTCCCTGTGGTCACACCTATTGCTTTCCCTGCCTTAAGACCATGGAAGAAGGCCTTGACCAACACAGGTGTCCAGAATGTCAGGCTGAGTACCAAGGAACCGCTGCTCTTGTGAAAAACTTACAAATGTGCAAACTCACAGAGACCTACAAAGTCACTTCTGAGAAAGGTTTTGCCCCTGAAGACCTTCCTGCTGTCGTCCATGTAACATCCAAGATAATGTGTAATTCTGCTTTGGATGAGTCAGTTGGAGAAAGCCAATACCATGGAGAAGAAAACAAGACAAACAGAGGCTGTGAGACTGGCTCTGGACTCAGAGACATTCCCTTTAATCCGACAACAGCAAAAATCAGCAGCAAAGGCAAAACGGAAATGGATGAGCCCAAGTTTAAACTGGCATCTCAAGTCACAGAGTTACACATCAAATTAGAGATTGCAGAAGGTGTTCTGATGAGAGAAAAGGAGTGGGAGCTTCATTTGACAACTTCTAATTCTCAGTTGAGAGAGAAAATATCCAGGTTGCTGGGGCAGATGAAGGACTCCCTGCAGAGCTACAGTGACCAGGTGATGCAGATGGTCGAGAAGGAGTTAGGCCCAGGTGAAGAAAGCATCCGCGCTCGAGTCGGTCAAACGTCTGAGCTGGCAAAGCAGCTGAGGCACACTGTGCTTACAGCTGAATCCCTGCTGACCGAAGAGGATGAAAAAGCATTTAGCGATGAGCTTCAAAGTCTAAATGCCAACATTGCAGAGGCGCTAGAAAAACCACTGAGAGAGGACGAAGACTTTGTTGAAGCAAAGGTCAACTTTGCACATGTCTGTCCCAAACTGGAAGTCATGAACACTGTCCTGAGGGAACAACTTGGAGAGACTCAGCGCTCCCTTCGAAACACCTTCAACCCTTCAGAGCTGACCTTTGACCCAGAAACAGCTCATCCTAATCTCATTCTGTCAGAGGACCTGAAAACGGTAACATTCAGCACCGTGAAGCGATCCTACACGTCCTCACCTCAGAGATTCACCAGCTTTTACCAGGTACTCAGCGCACAAAGCTTCTCGGAAGGCGAACACTCCTGGGAGGTGGAGCTCGAAGGTTCTCCATGGATCATCGGCATGTGCTACAGTGGGAAGCTGCCACGCAGTGGGATGCCATCCGCCCTGGAAAGCAGCCAGAGCTCCTGGTGTCTGATGTGGTTTGATAACCTGCTAACCGCTTTTGAGCAAGGTCACAGCGTGCCGCTAAAGAAAACCACAGTGTCACGCAGGCTTGAGGTCAAGCTGAGCTTCAAGACGCACAGGTTGAGCTTCTACAACATCAGCCCCACCAGTGGGAAGACGCATATCTA